GCGGGGCGGGGGTGTGAAATCGCTGGTTTTTGGAGCGGGGCCTTGGGGCAAAAACCCCATTTTTGGGGCATTTGAGTTGGGGGGTGGAGGGGTAAGGGGGCAGCTGTACGTCCAACTGTCCAGCTGTCCAACTGGATGTGCAACTGTCCGGCTGGATGTCCAACTGTCCAGCTGGACGTCCAACTGTCCAGCGGGACGTCCATCTGTCCGGCTGGACGTCCAACTGTCCATCTATCTGGCTGGACGTACAATGGTCCGTGTGTCTGGCTGGACGTACAACTCTCTGTCCGTACGCCTCTGTGTGTCCATCTGCAGGGTCACCCGTCCGTGTGTCTGTCCCACCGCGTTACTCACCCAGGGCACAGGAGGGACAGAGCAGGGGTTGCGCATCCAGCCGGACACACGGACGGTTGCACATTCAGACAGTTGGACAGCTGTACGTCCAGCGGAGGCATGGATCATTGTGCGTCTGGCCGGACACACGGACAGCTGTTCGTCCAGCCAGACACACGGACGGTTGTACGGACAGACGGACACATGGACGGTTGCACATCCAGCTGGACTCATGGACAGTTGTACGGCCAGACAGACAGATGGATAGTTGGACGTCCAACTGGAGACAGGGGTCATTGTACATCTGGCCGGACACACAGACTGCTGTACGTACCACTGGACACACGGACAGTTGTATGTCCAGCAGGGCACACGGACCATTGCACATTCAGCTGGACAGTTGTATGTACAACCGGACAGATGGACAGTTGCACATCCATCTGTAGACATGGACAGTTGCACGTACAGCCAGACAGTTGCACGTACAGCCAGACAGCCGTACATGCAACCGGAAAGTTGTACGTACAGCCGGACAGTTGCACGTCCAGTTGGACGTACAGCCGGACAGCCGCCCCCTCACCCCTCCAAGGGGGCAGCTGTACGTCCAACTGTCCAGCTGTCCAACTGGATGTGCAACTGTCCGGCTGGATGTCCAACTGTCCAGCTGGACGTCCAACTGTCCAGCGGGACGTCCATCTGTCCGGCTGGACGTCCAACTGTCCATCTATCTGGCTGGACGTACAATGGTCCGTGTGTCTGGCTGGACGTACAACTCTCTGTCCGTACGCCTCTGTGTGTCTATCTGCAGGGTCACCCGTCCGTGTGTCTGTCCCACCGCGTTACTCACCCAGGGCACAGGAGGGACAGAGCAGGGGTTGCGCATCCAGCCGGACACACGGACGGTTGCACATTCAGACAGTTGGACAGCTGTACGTCCAGCGGAGGCATGGATCATTGTGCGTCTGGCCGGACACACGGACAGCTGTTCGTCCAGCCAGACACACGGACGGTTGTACGGACAGACGGACACATGGACGGTTGCACATCCAGCTGGACTCATGGACAGTTGTACGGCCAGACAGACAGATGGATAGTTGGACGTCCAACTGGAGACAGGGGTCATTGTACATCTGGCCGGACACACAGACTGCTGTACGTACCACTGGACACACGGACAGTTGTATGTCCAGCAGGGCACACGGACCATTGCACATTCAGCTGGACAGTTGTATGTACAACCGGACAGATGGACAGTTGCACATCCATCTGTAGACATGGACAGTTGCACGTACAGCCAGACAGTTGCACGTACAGCCAGACAGCCGTACATGCAACCGGAAAGTTGTACGTACAGCCGGACAGTTGCACGTCCAGTTGGACGTACAGCCGGACAGCCGCCCCCTCACCCCTCCACCCCCCAGCTCAAATGCCCCAAAAATGGGGTTTTTTGCCCCAAGGCCCCGCTCCAAAAACCAGCGATTT